AGGCTATCATTTAAAATTACAGAATAAATAAAGAGCTTCCCAGACAAGAAAAAGCTAAAGGAATTTATCACCACCAAACCAGTATTTCAAGAAATGTTACAGGAACTTCTTTAAGAAAAATAAATAATAAATAAATAAATAAATAAATAAATAAATAAATAAATAAATAAATAAGTGACAAGATTACATACCTGTCAAAAATCAACTTTAAATAAAGATGGCTTAATGTAGAAATCAAAAGACATAGGGTGGATGGATGGAGAAGAAAACAAGACCCATATATGCTGTCTACAAGAGACCTATTTTAGATCAAAGACAGACTAAAAGTAAAGAGATGAAAAAAAATATTTCAGGCAAATGAAATTTAAAAATAAAAAGGTTGGGGTAGCAATACTTGTATCAGACAAAATAGATATTAAACCAAAAACTATAACAAGAGACAAGGACACAACACAAGGATAAAGTGATCAACCCAACAAAAGGATATATTCCTTGCAAACATTTATGCACCCAAGGTAGGAACACCTAAATTTATAAAGCAAATAATGATGGACATAAAGGGAGAGATCAACAGTAATACAGTAATTGTAGGGAACTTTAACACCCCATTGACATTAATGGATAGACCATCCAGACAAATCAAAAAGGGGACAGCGGTTTTATGTGACACAATAGACCAGAAGGCTTTAATTGATATTTTCAGAACATTTCACCACAAAGAAGAAAAATATACATAATTTTCAAAATGCAGGTAAAATTTTCTAAAGTAGACCACATTAGACTACAAAACAAGTCTCAAAATTAAGACAACTAAAATTATATCAAGCATCTTCTCTAACCACAATGCTATGAAACTAAAAATCAATAAAAAGAAAAAAACAACTGAAAAACATACAAACACATGGAGGCTACATGACATCCTACAAAACAATGAATGGATTAACAATGAGATCAGAAAAGAAATAAAAAGATACGCTGAGAATTAAAAACACAACCCCAAATCAATGGGACACAGCCAAAGCAGTTCTAAAAAAGAAATCTAAGCCCCCGCCAGATAGAGCATCTTTCTGATATGCCAAGTTGTGGGTTTGATCCCTGGTCAGGGCACATAAAAGAAGCAACCAATGAATGCATAATATATGTGGAACAAAAAATCACTGCTTTTCTCTCTCCCCCACCACCTTGCACATCAATAAAAAAATTTTTTATAAAAATAATAAATCCATAGAAACACAGGCAAAAAAAATGTGAAATAAACAATCTAACGTTAAATCTAAAGGAACTAGAAATCGAACAAGCAAAGCCCAAAGTAAGTAGAAGGGGGGAAATAATAAAGATAACAGTGGGAATAAACAAATTAGAGTCTAGAAAAACAATACAAAAGATCAATGAAAGCAGAACCTGGTTCTTTGAAAAGATAAACAAGATTGATAAACCTTTAACCAGACTCAACAAGGAAAAAAGAGTACCTAAATAAATAAAATCGGAAATGAAAGAGAACTGACAACTTAGAAATGCAAAGAATTATTTTTTAAAAAATACTATCAACAATTATATACCAACAAATTGTACAACCTGGAAGAAATGAATAAATTCCTAGGTACATGTAATCTTCCAAGACTGAGTCAAGAAGAAACAGAAAATCTGAACAGACCATAACTACTTATAAAATTAAATCAGTAAACAAAAAACTACCAACAAACAAAAGTCCTGGACCAGATGGCTATACAACAGAATTTTAACAAACATTTAAATAAGAACACCTATCCTCAAAACATTCCAAAACATTCAAGAGAAGGGGAAGCTCCAAACATCATTTTACAAGACCAGCATTACACTAATTCCAAAACCAAAGACATTATAAAGAAAATTATGGGCTAATATCCCTGATGAACATAGATAAAATTTCTCAATTAAATATTACCAAACTGAATTCAGAAAACATACCTCAACATAATAAAAAAAATTATACACTATAACCAAGTGGGATTTATCCCTGGGACGCAAGGTTGATTCAATATCTGCACATCAATTAGCATGATAAACAGCATAAGCAAAATAAAAAATAAAAATCATATGATCTTCTCAATAGATGCAAAAAAAAAAAAACAAAAACATTTGACAAAATCCAGCATCCATTTATGATTAAAAACTCAGCAAAGTGGGAAAAGAGAAAACATACCTCAACATAATAAAGGCCATATATGACAAAATCACACCTAGCACATACTCAAAGGGAAAAAGTTAAAATGTTTTCCTTAAAAACAGGAACAAAAATGTCCACTTTCACCAATTTTATTCAACACAGTATTGGAAGTCCTGTAGCAGGATAGTAAGAAGCTAGGAAAATCCCTGGGCAAGTGGAGTGGAGAAACCGAGGCAAAAAAATTAAACAAGGTCAAACAGTTTGGGCAGCTTGCAGCCAGCCTGTGAACTGCAAGAACTTTATCTTCCCTATCCAAAGATACTCATTTGAGAGTATATGGTTTATACCCTCCTTCATAAACAGAAAATACATAGTTAAAATTACCCTGGCCTAGGAAAATAGAGAACAAGACCCAATTAATACCATTAGTGCCAGCTAAACCCAAGGACAGATGAAGCTGGGGAACAAATAACAACAAAAAAACACACATTAATTCCAGACAGACTTAAGATAAAAGTAAAATAGTAAAACACCAAAGAATAATCCAAAACTCCCTTATATACCCATTTTAATGCATCAGCATATTAAGTATGCACCTGGAAAGTTGATGAATATTCTACTAAAATCCTCCCCTAAGATTCTTGCCTGCAGGGGGGAAAAAAGTGGATAAAAAGCCCTCAGGACAAAGACTCAATGTGGGCATGAACTTTCTATTTCTAAGGGTCCCCACAAGACTTGCCATCAGGGCAGCAGTGGGCAGTGGTAGTTCAACCTGGGTTCACCCCTTGATCCTGTCTCCAAGACCCCCTTTTTTTCTGACTTCCCAGTTAGTTAAAGCAGCCCCATCTAGGCTCACTTCTATCACTGTGACCTTCACTTCCCAGTGAGCTAACAGCAGCTCCACCTTGGTTCACTTCTTTCCTATAACATTTCTAGAGAGCCAAAGCAGAGCACCACCTAGGCTCTCCACTGTTGTTTCTTCTATCCTAACTTCTTCCTTTGTTTCATTGTTCCCAGCATTAATAAACATACTCTCAAACCCACCTGGGCTTGTGTTGCAAAATATTTTCTACATGAAGTCAAGGACCCACACACTATGGGACAGCTTGAGGCAGACCTGCTCTGGGCCAGCCTCTGTTGGGTAATAATCCTTGCCACAGCAATCAGACAAGAAAAAGTATCGAAGTTGGAAAAGAAGTAAAACTGTCATTATTTGTAGATGACATAATACTATGTATAGTGAACCCTAATGATTCCACAAAAATAATTAAAACTGGTAAATGAATTCAGTAAAGGAGCAGAATACAAAATTAATATTCAGAAATTAGTTGCATTTTTATACACCAAATATGAAGTATCAGTAAGAGGAACTACAAATATAATCCCATTTACAATTGCACTAAAAAATAAAATACCTAGAAATAAATTTAACGGGAAAAATAAAGGACCTGTACTCATAAACTTATGAGACATTGAAAAAAGAAAATGAAGAAGATACAAATAAATGGAACCATATAACATGCTCATGGATTGGAAAAATTAATATTGTTAAAATGTCCATATTCCCCAAAGCAATAAATAGAATTAATACAATCCCTATCAAAACACCAATGGCATTTTCCACAGAACTAGAAAAAAAATCATCCTAAAATTTGTATGGGATCACAAAAGACCCAGAATAGCCACAGCAATCTTGAGAAAGAAAAACAAAATTGGAAGTATCATGGCACACAATATCAAACAATACTATAAGGCTATCAATAATCAAAACAGCATGGTACTGGCCTTAAAAACAGATACATAGAGCCGGGCCGGGCGTGGCCCAGTGGTTGAGCGTTGACCTGGGATCCAGGCGATCGGGATTCGATTCCCGGTCAGGGCACATGCCCGGGTTGCGGGCTAGGCAGCCAATCAATGACTCTCTCATCATTGATGTTTCTTTCTCTCCCTCTCCTCTCCTCTCTCGGAAATCAATAAAGATATATTTTTTAAAAATCAAAACAAAAAAACATACATAGATGAATGGAACAGAAGAGAGAGTCCAAAAATAAACCCATGCTTATATGATCAATTAATCTATGACAAACAGGCAAGAAAAGAATTAAATAAAGACAATAAAAAATGGTTAGGAAAACTGAACAGATAAATGCAAAGAAATGAAAATAGATCACTGTCTTATACCATACGCAAAAATAAACTCGAAATGGATTAAACACTTAAAGACAACCCACAAATTGGGAGAATATATTACCCAATGATACACCAGATAAGGGGTTAATACCCAAAATTTATAAAGAACTCTTGTAACTTAACATCAAAGAAAAAAACAAACAATTCACTTAAAAAGTGGGCGGAAAACCTGAAGACATTTCTCCAAAGAGACATACAGATGACCAACAGACATATGAAAACATGCACAAAGTCATTCATCATCAGAGAAATGCAAATTAAAACCACAATGAGATACTACCTCACACCTTTTAGAATGCCTATCATAAATAAGTCAACAAACAACAAATGTTTGTGAAGATGTGGAGCAAAGGGAACCCTTGTGCAATGTTAGTGGAATTGCAAATGGTAGAGCAACTATGGAAAACAGTATGGAGGTTGCTCAAAAAATTAAAAATAAAACTACCTTATGACTTAGCAATTCCATTTCTGGATATCTATCTGAAGAAATCTAAAACACTAATTTGAAAGATATATGTACTGCTATGTTCATCGCAGCATTATTTACAATAGCTAAGATATGGAAGCAATCTAAGTGTCCATCAATAGATTATTGGATAAAGAAGATTTGGTACATATATACAATGCAATATTACTTGGTCATTAAAAGAGAGTAAAATCTTACCATTTGAGCCAACATGGATGGACCTGCAGGTTATTATGTAAGGAAACATAGTCAGAGAAAGACAAATACCATCAGATTCACTTACATGTGGAATCTAAAAAACACAAACAAAAGAGAAACAAACTCATATATACAGAAAACAGACTGATGTTTGCCAGATGGAAGTGGGGTTAGGGGAATGGTTGATTAAAAGGTGAAGGAATTAAGATGTGCAAATTGGTAGTTACAAAATAGTCACAGGGATGTAAAGTACAGCATAAGAAATATAGTCAATATTACTCTATTAATATTGTACGGTATGTTTGGTATGTCAGAACACCGGCCTTTTCCCAAGCTCCTACTCCCCCTCCCACCCAGTGGGAATATGATGAAGGCCATCTGTATGAGTGCTGTGGGACCTTAGAAACTTGGCCAGCTCCTCAGTGAAGAAACTGCCAAACAGAAACTGTTCTCGGATTGTAAACAGCTAGCGTTTTGATCTCAGACAGCTCGCATGTGAACATTTCCACCCTGCATGCCCTGTGTGCTTTGTTTTCTGTATTCTATATAACCCTGTACATAGAAAGCCTGTGTTGCAGAGATTTCACAGGCAGACCATTCCTGGTATGCACATTAAGTCCTAATAAATCATATCTTTCACAGCCAGTTCTCTGGGTATTTCCTTGGAATCAGTAAGCAATACACTGAGGTTTTCTCAGACCTCAGGTCTTTTCATAACAGGTGTCAAGGGGGGACTTTATTGGGGGTGTCACTTCATAAATTATATAAATCTAACCACTATGTTGTACATCTGAAGTTAATATAAAATAATATTGAATGTAAACTGTAATTGAAAAACATTATAAATAAAATGAGGGCAATAATTCCTGTTTTCAAACAACAAAAAAACACCCAAAGTGTGCTAGTGATAAAACTATTCCTTTCAAAAGAAAAAAACAAAACAAAATGCAGAATCTCAGTGTTCTGTCCAGATGGACTGAATCTGTCTGGTTTTAAGATTAGTATGTTCAGCTTTTTCACTTTTGCTGCCAGAACACAGGTGCTATGAAAAGCACCACTGAATCAATGAAAAAAAAGGAAAGACTCATACATTAACATCTTCATCATTATACATATAGATTCTGACAAGTCTACCACTACTAACCATCTGATCTACAGATGTAGCGGGATCAACAAAGAATCATCAAAAAATTTGAGAAGGAGGCTGCTGAGATACGGAATGGCTCCTTCAAATATGCCTGGGTCTTGGATAAATTGAAAGCTGAAAGTGAGTGTGGTAGCACCATTGATATCTCTCAGCAAAAATTTGAGACCAGCAAGTATTATGTGATCGTCATTGATGCCTTAAGACACAGAGACTTTATAAAAAACATGATTAAAGGCACAGCTCAGGCTGACTGTGCTGTCCTGATTGTTGTTGCCGGTGTTGGTGAATTTGAAGCAGGTATCTCAAAAAATGGACAAACCTGTGAGCATGCCCTTTTGGCTTACACACTGGGTGTGAAACAACTGATTGTTGGTGTTATAAATTCCACTTAGCAGCCCTACAGCCAGAAGAGATAAGGAAATTATTAAAGAAGTAAGCACCTACATTAAGAAAATTGGCTACAACCCTGACACAATAGCTTTTGTGCCAATTTCTGGTTGGAATGGCAATAACATGCTGGAGCCAAGTGTTAATATGCCTTGGTTCAAAAAATGGAAAGTCACTGGTAAAGACGGCAATGACAGTGGAATCATGCTACTTAAAGTTCTTGATTGCATCTTTCCAACAACTCATCCAACTGACAAGCCTCTACATCTGCCCCTCCAGGATTCTTACAAAACTGGTGATATTGGTACTCTCCCTGTGGGCCGAGTGAAGACTGGTGCTCTCAAACCTGGCATGGTGGTCACCTTTGTTCCAGTCAACATTACGACTAAAGTAAAGTCTGTTGAAATGCACCCTGAAGCTCTTCCTGGGGACAATGTGGGCTTCAATGTCAAGAACATGTCTGTCAAAGATGTTCATCATGGCAATGTGGCTGGTGGCAGGAAAAATGACCCACCAATGAAAGCAGCTGGCTGCACAGCTCAGGTGATTATCCTGAACCATCCAGGCCAGATAAGAATCAGATACACCCCTGTGCTGGACTGTCACACAGCTCATAGTGCTTGCAAATTTGCTGAGCTGAAGGAGAACATTGATCATCTTTCTGGGAAAAACCTGGAAGATGGCCCAAGTTTTTGAAATGTGGTGATGTTGTTATCATCAGTATGGTTCCTGGCAAGCCTGGGCCGTTTTGCTGTTCGTGACATGAAACAGAACATTGCTGTGGGTGTCATCAGAGTAGTAGACAAGAAGGCAGGTGGAGCTGGCAAAGTCACCAAGTCTGCCCAGAAAGCTCAGAAAGCTAAATGAATATTACCCCCAGTACCTGCCACCCAGTCTTAATCAGTGGTGGAAGAATGGTCTCAGAACTGTTTGTCTCATTTGGCCATTTCAGTTTAATAGTAAAAGACTGATTAATGATTATAATGTATCATAAAACCTTCAGAAGGAAAGGAGAATGTTTTGTGGGCCACTTGTTTTGTATGTGTGAGTGGCAGTTTTTATGTTTTTAAAATCAGTAATTTTTAAGGAAACAACTTGGCCAAAGTTTTAATGAGAAACCTGTGTGTTCTTTTGGCCAACACTGTAACTTCCTATAGTACTACTTAGGTAAAAAACTCAAGTAAGAGTTGCCCATAAGCTATTTCTGGTGTTAACATGTACTGAAACTTTAGAATTTCATAATCCTGCTAGTGTTTTCTGGGTCAAAACTTGGGGTTTTCCACCTTGTCTTAAGGGGAGGAATCATTTGTTTATATAGTAAAAGCTATGGGAGGGGGGTCTCTTGGTACAACACTAAATAGGTTAGGACAGATAAACAAAAAGTAACTTCGTTTATGTGTAAGCCAGTTTATAAAGGCAAAATTCTGTTACAAAGTCCACGGGTTGCATATATAATTTTGTGTAGTAACACCAATATTGAGCAAATTTGTTGGTGTATCAAATTTTAGTTTTCCAGTTTTACTGGAATGTGTATTCTCACATTTACAAATACTGAGGTAGTTTAAAGAACCTAAAATGAGGCTTAAATAGTATTTAACACTGTCTTGCTACAGTTACTTATATCCAGATTCTAGGAAAAATAAATAATACAGGAAGTTGAAAAAAAGGTTAGTATGTTCATGAAAGATTGAAAAGCAATGATTTTAACTATAATTAAGCTAATACTGACTAATGATGCTCAAAACTGGTCTAAAGAGGTAAAAGTTATTGGCCTACAGACAATAATGCCTCTATGGGGGAAAAAAGATATTTTCAATCATTTGATTAATTCTGTAAATTGTAAATAGTGGCTTTTGCTTCGCTAGGTAAGTGCACTTCTGCAGCCAATTGTGAAGTTTCAATCCTACCTGGTAAGAACTTAGTTTCATCTCTTACCTTTCACTCTTAGCTTAATGTCCAAATCTAAAGAGAAAAACAACAGCAAAGGCCCAGTCAGAGTTTAACATTAGGCTGATCAGGGCCAAAGGGCCAAGATACAATCTGTAGTGTGGAAGAAAAGGAGCCACAAGTTAACCTGACAAGCTCAGGGAAGGCCTGTGTGGTGGCCTGGCAAACTCAGAAACCTAAAACCACCAAGGATGGTCTGAAATGAAAACTTTTTAACTAAAGCAGTTTATGGCAGGTAGTCATGTCCTAGGCTAGAATCTTCCCTGAAAAAAGTCAATCTTTGCCTTAACTGAGCCTGTTGTCTTTTCCATCTAGAATAGCATAACTTTGGAAAGTCGGGTAACTTCCCTTTTCCAGACCCCTCAGGGCACAACCAATGCACCAGAGCAGACTCTACAAATCCTCTCATTGTTATTTCTATTGTGTTAATTTTTGACTATTAACTACCCTGTATCCACCTATGTAAAAGATGTGTCTATCATTTTACTTTTTATCCAATCCTAGAGGTTTGGGTACTTTGCTTTCTCTCCTCCCTAATCTATCACCAATGGATTTCATGTAACTTTTAATTGTAATGTATAAAATAGGTGCAGAACTGCCATTCTGCAGAGCATTATTTCAATCCCCTGAGATTTTGTTTCCCAGGAACTGTCGACATTTTGGCTCAAATAAACTCACAAAAATTCTTTACAGGTTTGAATGTTTCTGGCATTGACATTTACTTGGCGTAGTCCACAGGATTCTAAAGAAGCTCACCCAGGACCACTCTGCAGACTTAGACCCAGACCCAGTGCTAGGATCCAGCAAAGGGCCCATTAAGCTCACTGGTTCCACCCCCATCCGGAGAACTTGGCTGAGTTGTCTCTTGAATACAGGACATTCCCTTGCTTGTGGTGGAGGGTCTAACTTTATTTGTGTTGTATTTTTAAATCCTCAAGGTGGAATTAAGGTTAAGGGTTGACAGAACCCAGGCTAAGGCAAGATAGGAGAAAACATGGGTGATTGGTTTTTAACTTTGGCTTTTCAATTGAAGTTACTTTCTGAAAGTTTGAACAAAAACCTTTGTTGTATAAATGAGAGCTGAACTCGGTCAGCTCCGAAGGGGCATGTCCTCCCTCCAGCCCAAATCTTGGGTGTGCTTAGGTGACTAAGAATCTTTGTGGAGTTGTCAGAGGTCATTCCTCATGATGTGCAGGAGCCCCTTAGGGAAATTCCAGTTCAACTGTAATTAAGCTGACTGGCTCTTATGTGGGAGTAAGGTTTGGTGAACCAGCACCCCAAGCCCTTCTGGGTTTTTTAGACAGCAAGGAGATAAACTGAGGCATGTAAGAGGGTTGAATGCAACTCGAGGGGTGAGAGCCTTGTGGAGCTCAACCCATAAGCAGCACACTTTGACCCACTACATAACATCCCTAGAAAATTTTCTCAGACTCTGCAGATATCCAAAAATAAAAACAAAAACCCGAAAATTAACATGGGAAATTGTGCCTCCAAGGCCAGATACTCTCAGATCCCAGCCCTTATTAATACTCCTGATAGGAAGCCTTTTACTTGCAAGTACTGTACAGAAATGGGAAGATTTAACTAGAAAACATCAACTTAAAATAGCCAAA